AGGATGCTGCTGCTGCTGATGATGCTGCTGCTGACGACGACGACGACGATGATGATGATGATGATGATGATGATGATAATGATGATGATGATGATGATGATGCTGATGCTGATGCTGATGCTGATGCTGATGCTGCTGATGATGATGATGATGATGATGATGATGCTGATGATGATGATGATGATGATGCTGATGCTGATGCTGATACTGCTGATGCTGCTGATGCTGATGCTGATGCTGATGCTGATGCTGATGCTGATGCTGATGCTGCTGATGATGATGATGATGATGAGGAGGAGGAGGAGGAGGATGAGGAGGAGGAGGAGGAGGAAGAGGAGGAGGAGGAGGAGGAGGAGGAGGAGGAGGAGGAGGAATCGGCGGAGGGGGAGGAGAAGGCGGAGGAGGAGGAGGAGAAGGAGGATTAGGAGAAGGAGGAGGAGCAGGCGTGGCAGGAGGAGAAAGAGGCAGAGGAGGAAGAGGAGGAGGAGGCCCCTCTGGAGTCCCCAAAGTCGCCTCTTGGGGCCCTCTTGGGGCCCTTTTGGGGCGCTCTTGGAGCGCTCTTGGGCGCTCTTATGGCCGTCTTGGGGCCATCTTGGACCACTCTGGGGCTTGGGCTCTCTTGCAGCCATCTTGAGGCCTCGGGAGCTTATTGGAAGCGAAAATGCGAGAAGGCTAAAATCAGTGTCTGTACGTAGGGTTTGAAGGGTTTTGCCCTCTTGGGGGCCTCCTTGGGAGGCTCCGAGGCCACTTGGACCTGTCTGGGACCGGTCTTGGGGTCTTGGAGCATGTTGGAAGCCATCTTGAGCGATCTCTCTCTTGGGCCATCCTGGAGGTCATCTTGGGCTCCCAGAGGCCCTCTTGGAGCCGTCTTGAGCCCCAAACCACCCTCTGACACCTCGCCGCCCTCCCCCGCCCTCCAGGTCCAGGGGGAGGGGCAAACCCTCCCCGAAGGGGAAGAAGGGAATTGGAAGAGGAAGCGCTCTAAACCGCCTCCACCCATAGCTCTGCGCTGGTGGGATTCTGGTCAGCCCGTTCGAGGGCCCTCTGACGCACAGGATGCGGCAGCCTCCCCACCACGCGCGCAGCACACGGGCTTCTCCGCCCCGCATTGGGGCGACGTGGCCCTCGCGGATCGATCCGGCTCGGGGAATCATCCAGCATCGGAGCGGAGTCGATCGCTCCCGTGGCCACTTTTTTCCATGACGTGATGTGTCCGATTCTTTAAGCCTTACGTCGGGCGTGTCCCTACAGGAGGAGTCTTCAAACATAGTTACAAAATAGTCCGGGGACGACTTTCCGACTAGTTTCGACCATGTTTGCATATTTTGGATTATTTGTTTCATTATCGCCCACAATCTGCCTGTAGGGGGACATGCCCGACCTAACGGAAGCCCCGAATCCCACGATGTTGGCGTCTCGCTTTCATCTCCGCCGCCTTCCGCCGAGCTGCTGCCAGCGTCCGCGGGCGGGCGGGCCCGCCGTGGTTCAGATATTCGTTTCGGGGACCTTCCCGGGGGCCCGCCTGGCGGGTCTGTTCGATTCTGGTCCGAGCCCAGTCCGACTCGAGTTCGACTCAGGTTCGAGTCAGGTTCGCCTCGTGGCCGACCCACATCGGCGGACGCTCGACTCAGCTTCGACACGAGAGTGGAGCGAGTGCTTCCAGGAAGGCCCCCAGAGTGAGCATCCGACGCTGTTTCCCTCCCGCTGGCCCCCTGCCGGCCTGCACCGAGGGCGAGGATGCGGCGAAGGCGAGGCCCTTTCTGGAGCGCGCAGTTTTTTTGCGTTTTTTTGTTGTTTTGTTTTTGTTGTGTTTTTTGTTTGTTTTTTGTTTAAACACATACAAAAGCAATCAGCAAAAACCACAAAACAAAACAACGTTTTTTGTTTGATTACTGAACGATGTTTTTTTGTGACGACAAGCTCCCCTTGCCCTCCCCGGACATCCGTTCCCTTCTTTTCAGCCTGGGCCCCCAGAGAGCTCCCGGCACGCTTCCCACGGCAGGCTCTCCTCCCGAGCCGAGCCGAGTCTGGATCCTTCCAGGCATGCAGCCCCAGACATGGGGAGGAGGAGGAGGAGGAGGAGGAGGAGGAGGAGGAGGAGGAGGAGGAGGAGGAGGAGGAGGAGGAGGAGGAGGAGGACGGAGGAGGAGGACGGAGGAGGACGCATGAGGAGGAGGCGGAGGAGGAGGGAGGAGGAGGATCGCGCCGTTGAAACAAATAAGGGCGGGAGGTTTCTGGCCATCTGCGGCCTCAGGGGGGGCCCTCGCCCGGCCTCGGGACCGTCAAGAGACGACTCCGGATGAAACACCGGTACTGGGGAGAAGGCCGGGATTTCCAGGGACCCCGCGTGGAGGAACTCGGGGCGTCGCTCTGGGCTCCCGAAATGGGTACGGAAAGATTGGTTACAATGCCGAACGGCGGATCTTGCTCATTTTGAGCAGGACTCGCTGTCCACGCCGCCGCGGCCTGTGTCCATTTGAGACAGAAGTCCGCCTGCTCAACAGCGGCCGCTGCTGGTTTGGGACAACATGTGTTGTTGGGCATTGTACCCATTCTTTCCGTGCTCATTCCGGTCGTCCAAAGTTGAGGAGCTCGGGGCGTCGCGTGTCCAGGGCTACGTCTTCCGGCCCCTGTGGCACGCGCGACATCTCCGTGAGGCATGCCGTGACGCGCGTGAGCCTCCGCGGAGCTTTCGTCGCCCAGGGGTCCACTGGTCGGCTTCGCTCTCACTCGTTGTGTGGCATCACGTTGTCGGGAAGAGGATTGTAAGATTGTGAGAAGATTACAAGAACATCAGCAGAACGTTAACACGATACTATGATACGATTCCCAGCTGTTTTGACGGTCCTGGGACGCGGGCTGGGCTCCACGAACCACCTCCGCCCCGACTTGCACGGTGGTCGCTGGAAGAGTAGGTACGTTCTGGATTCCCAGATCCCAGTCTACAGTTGACCCGCATGGTAAGGATGGGCAACCTCCCCAATGGTACCCTTGCATCCTTGCCTCCTCGGTCCATCCTTGGCCGCTTTCGTTGGCCGCGCCCCGCTCGAAGAGCTTCGACGTGGGCGTCCAAGGCCCTTGCATCCTTATCGCGCATCCTTATGGTACGGACCGACCGTACTTCAAGCGCCTGAGTACTTCAAGAATCGGTCTGCCCTTGCTGTGTTTCGGCGGGTCCGAATCCCATCTGCTGTACCCGCCTTCATGCTTCATGCTTCTACCTGCTGCTTCCGACCAGCGGGCGTTTGTTCAGCGCGTTTGGGTGTCTGGGCCTGGTGCGGTCAGCTGGCAGCCAGGCCCGCGGGCGCCAGCCGAAGGACGGCGAGGGCGGCGCTGCCGGCCGAAGCCCGGCAGAGGCGCATCATGCGGCCTCGTAAGGTCGGTGTGTGTGTGTGTCTGTGTGTGCATCGCTTCCACAGGGGCAGGTCGCACACGGAAGCACGGACGCATCTCGTCGTTGAACCACCGTGGCGGGCGTGGTCTGGCCATGCCGTATGGATACTTCACGGCATGCTGCATTTCTGTCCACTGCCTCTGTCCTCCGGTCGGACGTGCGCCTCCAAGGGGGGCGCGCGCAGTGGTAGGACCCCCTGCGCCCCAGCAGGGGGTGCCGGCGCGGGGAGCCCGTGGGTTCGGGAGTCGGCCATCGCGGGGCGTGCCAGGATTGGCCTCGCCCTCGAGGGCTCGAGGCGCTGTCATCTTCTCTTCGGCGGGAGGGCGGCGGAGGGCCGCCGGAAGGGCGGAGGGGCGGCGAAAAGAGAGCGAGGGCGGCGCCGCCGATGGCAGGCAGAGGGAAGGCAGCGGTAGTAGAAGGTCCTCCCCGAGAGATGATTTGTGCTTCAGGGTGCAGGGTCTCTGGAACTGTCATCCGTCCTCGCAGGAGGCGTCGACGCCGGGCTTGAGGAGTCGTTGTTGTGTCGGCGGCTGCGGCAAATGCGACTCGTTCAGGTGGGTAGCCTTGCGCGCATTCATTGTTCGTGCGTCGTCCAGTACCCAGGCCAGGCCCAGGATACATGGAATGTCCTCCACCCCTCGGCTTTCCTTTCCTGTTGCAGCTGCCGGGTCCAGACCTGTTTGCAGAGGTGGCGGCCACAAGCATCTATTATGATTCTAAGTGCAGGCGTCGCCGCGAGTGAAGCGCTGGCCTCACAGCATGTGTGTGTGTGTTCACTGGATACCTTTTGACTTCTGCTGGCTCGAACGCGTGCGCCTCCCCTGACGTGTTGTAGTCCTGGAGAGGCATGTGGTCCTTCATGTCTCCAGACCAGCCATTTCTGATCGGTCTGGTGACCTGGGCTAGAGCTACCTGGCTGGCTCTTCGTCAGCATCTGCGTCACGCGCAGTTGTTCCCAACGGCCGTGGCGCAGGCCTTCCCTGAGGTCCGACGTCTCGAACAAATTGCAACATGGTGAAAAAATCACGGCCCTAGCCCCAGACCCGCCTTTCTGCGCCATTCTTCGAGCCAGATCGATCTGTGAGGGTCCCGGGGGCCTGAAGCCAGGCGGATTCGCCCGACTCGAAAACATCCAGACCCCAGGACCTCCGGCCTAGTCTGTGCCACGCGCACTGGTCCCGAGCGGCCGTCGACCGAGCCTTGGGCTGGCCAGCTCGTGCCTCCGTAGAGACGTTTTGGCCCGGATACCCCGCGCCCAGCCCCTGACCTTCCAGAGAGCTATTTTTTAGCACCGGAGACCTAAAAACCTAAAACGATGAGCGAAACAGCCTAAAACCCAGACGTAGAATAGCTTTGGGATAGGTTTTTAGGTCGGGTGCTATTTTTTTAGCCCTCCTGGAAGGTCAGGGGCGTCGAGCCGCCGGGCTCGTCAGCCACTCCGTCGCCGCCGCGAGCCGTGGCGGCCCAGCCGCCATGGCGCTCCGCGCAGGGGCCCAGCCTCGGAGGAGGCCCCCTGCGAGACGACGGCGGCCCCCGCGGGCGTTTCTCCTCGTCCTCCCCGGGGCCTCCTCAGAGGCTCCTCGACGCCACGGCGGGGTCCGCCTCGAGGAGCGGGCCCCGGGAGGGGCGTCCGAGGACCGACCCTGACCTTCCAGAGAGCCATGTTTTAGCACGGGGGGCCTAGAAACTTAAACAAACTTGGCGAAACAGCCTAAAACCAAGACGTAGAATAGCTCTAGGATAGGTCTGCAGGTCGGGTGCTACTTTTTAGCCCTCCTGGAAGGTCAGGGGATGTGGAGCAGTCGGGGCCGGGCGGGCGGGCCGCCGTTGTCTCCGCGGGCGCTCCCCCGACGGCCGCCCCCCGCGGCCCGGCTGCTGCCGGCCGGCCCCGAGGCCGCCGCCCCGCACCCCCGGCAGCACTCCGGCCCTGGAGTTGCTGGGCCCGCCCCGGCCTGGAGCGGCTCTGCGACGCCCGCGCCACCTCCTGGCTGGCACGGGCCTGCCGCCGCAGCCGTGCCACCGCAGCCGTGGACCGGGGGCTCCTCGGGCCCCGCGGCCGCGCTGGCTCCCGCGGCCGCGCTGGCCTCGCCGGCGCCAGCCGCTGCCGCGGCGTCGGTGCTGGCCCCTCCGGTTGCGTCGCCGGCCCGCGTCCCGCCGGCCCCTGCGTGGGGCACTTCGCCGGGGCCGCAGCTGGTGGCAGGCACCGCGATCGCTTCTCCCGCCGTCAGTGCTGTGGCATCTGGGCTGGGGCCAGGAGGAGCGCCGACAGCGCCCGTCCCTGCGCTGTCGTCCTCTGGCGCTGCCGCGGCCGCGTCGCACCCTGGTGGGGCAGCGGCCGGCCAGGCGCAGGTCCTTGCGCCGGTGGCGAGCGCAGCCCCGGCATGGCCGCCTGTGGTAGCCGGCCCCCATGCAGACCCGGTCCACGCGTCGCAGCTACTCAGAGCGGCTGAGCCTCCTGCCACACCGCCTGCTGGCCTCGGGGCGGTCGCGGCGCTGACGTCGGGGCCACCCTCTGGCTCGCCGCTGCATGCTGCGCCGACCCATCCTGCAACGGCGCCAGCCGCCTGGGCCCTCGGCGTGCATGCCGCCGGCGCCGTGATGCCCGCCGGGCAGCTCGTCGGCGCCATGGGCTCTCTTGGGCCGGGTGCCGTGGGGATCCCGTCCGCGCCCGCGTCACTCCCGAGCCCTCGCGCGGCTGCCGCTGCCGCCGAGCTTGCCCGACTGGGCGTGCCAACGGGCGCTGCGGTTCCCGGGCCCGTGGAGCTGGCGCTGGTGCGCCTCGAGCGAGCCGTGGCCGCCGTGCACGAGGAGCTGTGCGGCCAGTTGCCCGAGCCGCCAGGCGCGGGCGCCGCCCTCGGCAGCGCGGCCGACTTGGAGGCGCGCACCGCTCTGAGCGAGAAGCGCCTGGGCCAGGTGCGGGACCTCGTGCGCACCCTGAGGACCAGCGCGGGCGCGCGCGCGGCACTGGAGGAGCAGCGGCGGCTGGCAGGCGAGGAGGCCTTGCGCGGCTGGGCCGCGGAGCTCTTCGCGATGGTGGACGCGGGCTGCATGGAGTCGCAGGCCCGCCTGCGCGACCTGGTCGAGGTCGCCAAGGTGCCCGTGACGATTCCACATCCTGTCTCCGGAGAGCTTCCGCTCGAATTTGCTATTCTGAGAGGGCGGGCCGCGAGCGCGCGGACGCTGATGTCGTTGGGGGCGAAGGTCGGCGACTGCCGCGTGGGGGCGGCCGAGCTGGGTACGGCAGCGCGGCAGGCGGGTCTGGAGGAGGTGCTCCGGGAGCTTCGCGCGGTGGGGCAGACCCGCCAGGGCCGGGACGATTTCTTCGCGGCGATTCAGGCCGGGGACGCGGAGAGGTGCGTGCATCACCTGAACATGGGCGCCGATGTCAACGCACAGGACGCGGCAACAGGGCTGAGCGCCCTGGAGTGGGCGGTAAAGCATTGCCGCGAAGACGCCGTGGAGTTGATCTTGATGACGACGCCCGCGGAGTCGGTGGAGACCGCACTGCTCGACAGGGCGCTGCTGGCAGCATGCGTTACGGGGCTCTGTAGGGCAGCGTGTCTCTTGGTGGAGGCGCGCGGCGACGCTGCAGCGAAAGACGAGCATGGCTGGACCCCGCTTGACTGGGCGGTCAGCGAGGGCCAAGAGCGAGTGGCGCTGGAACTCATCGCGCGGAGCGGCGTGGAGTTGGCTGACCGCGGCCGTGGCAGGCGGCACCTGGCGCGGATCGCGCTTGGCCGCGGCATGACCGCTCTGCTCTCGCTCCTCGACAGTGAGCTCGCCGGCTCGCACGCGGCCGCGATGTCCGCGGTGCAGCTGGGGCTGCAGCCGGCGTCGGGGTCTGTGCAGACCGCGCTGGCGACGGCGCTGGCGCCGCAACCGGTGCCGTAGTGCTGCAGCGGGTGCAACATCGGCCACGCGCAGGGGGTGGTATGGGGGAGGGGGAAAGGCTTCTTCGAAGCACCCCTGCTTCTTAGACGGCGTGGGCCGCATCTGTAGATGTAGGGCTGGCGCCTTCTAAGAAGCAGCCTCCTTCTGAGCAGCCTTCCCCCCTCCCCCCTGCCCCCTTGTGCGCGCCGCCAGCCGCATGCCGAGGCGGTGGAGGATGCGGAGGCGGACGGCCATGTCCTGCGCCGAGGCCGGCCCCAGCAGGGCTGTGCTGCGCGGGGCGGGCGCCGCCCGCGCGCGGCGCCGCTCCCGGCGAGCTGGCACCGACGTCGAGCCTGCGCTCCTCCTCGTCGTCCTCCTCCTCCCTCCTCCTCCTCCTCCTCCTCCTCCTTCTCCTCCTCCTCCTCCTCCTCCTCCTCCTCCTTCTTGGATGAACCCCTTTGGGCATGCTTGACCTCCTCCTCCTCCTCCTCCTCCTCCTCCTCCTCCTCCATTCCTTCCTCCGACCAGGGCGGGCGACGGGCCGCGCAGCAGCCCTGCGCGGAGCACCGGGGGCGCGAGCGCGCCGGGGCGGAGCCGGAGATGGCCCGTGCTCGGCTAGGAGCCGAGGCTTCGGGCCCGCCGTGCTGGCGGGGCCCTGCGCCTGAGCTGGACCAGCCCAGGGTACGCCCCCTGAGATCTTTCAGCGCAGCGATCTGGCCCCTGAGCGTCTCCATGGCGACTGGGGCGGCGAGGATTAGTGAACTGATGGATTTCGGTATGCCAGGACACCGAAGTCCAGCAGTTCAGTAATCCTCGCCTCCCCAGTCGCCATGGAGACGCTCAGGGGCCAGATCGCTGAACTGAGGGATCTCAGGGTGCGTGAGGGGATCGGGGGGTCGGCTTCGGCCCTGCCGTGGCGCTGCCGGGAGCGGGCTGGAACAACGACGGCGCTGGCGGCGGTGTCGGCGCTGATGATGCTGAGTGCTGGCGGCGACGTGAAGCTGGCGATGATGTGATGCGATGGTTCTGGGGACTTTGGTGGTGGTAGGAATGTCGACGAGGATGATGCTGGTGCTGGGCCTGACGATGGCGAATATGGTATCGCAGCGGATGGCGATGATGCTAAGATCGACGGCGACGATGATGACGATATTGACGACGATGATAAGTTTGATGATGCTGATGATGCTGATGATGGTATTGATGCTGATGATGATGTTGATGCTGTTGATGATGATACTTATGATGCTGATGCTGATGATGCTGCTGCTGAGGATGAAGATGATACTGCTGCTGATAATGATGATGACGATGTTGATGATGCTGATGATGGTGATGATGATGCGCATGCTGATTGTGATGATGTTGGTCATGCACTGATGGGGATGGTGGTGGTCGTGATCATGATGATGCTGTTTACGTATAGTGATGGTGATGATGTTGATACTGATGAGGGTAGTGGTGATCATCATCGTGATGCTGATGATGCTGATGATGAGTATGAAGATGATGACGGTGGTGGTGGCGATTGCGGCGGTGATGATGATGACGATGCTGATAGTGGTGATGATGGTGATAATGACGATGGCAGTGGGGAGCAGGAGGAAAACGAGGAGTTGAGTGAGGAGGGAGTGCGGAGGAGGCGCGGAGGGCAGGGAGGAGGAGGAGGAGGAGGAGGAGGAGGAGGCGGACAACGGGGAGGGGGAGGAGGGTCGTCGGTTGAGGGCGGGAGAGGAAAGGGATAGGGATGAGGGAGGTGGCCTCTTCCTTCTCTATTCATTCTCTTCCTCTTCCCCCCTCTCCCTCTCCACTCCTCCTCCTTCCGATCGTTGCCGTCGCCGCCACTGTCGTCGTCATCGGTGTCGCAGCCGTTGCTGTATGTTAGTCGTCGTCGTCCTCATCGCCGTCGCGGTTGTTGTCGTTGCCGCCGTCGTCGTCCCGCTTGGAGGCCTTCGTCTGCGGCGCTGGGAACTGGGGAGACGGGCCTCAGTGCGACCAGTGGGACAAGGGCCGATCCCCGTGCTGGCCAAGCGCCACGGCCTCAGGAGCAGAGGAGAAAGAGGGACGTTGAGCAGGATGAGGACCAGTGTAAACGCAAGTCGCCTCAACCATGTTGCAAAAACCTTTCTCTCCAAGTTCCCTCTGCCCATGTCCCCTGCGAGAATTTATCTTCATTGCTGGAAGTCCCCCGTTGGAAGACAACGGTCTGGGCATTTTCAACATTGCCAAAACACCGTTCCTTGGACTTCACTGCCGCGAACCAACTTTACTGTTGCGTCTTGGGGTGCTGAATGGTTCCAGAATTTCTTTCCTGGGACTTCAACATAGCGAACCAACCTGATTTTCGCGCCCCGACAATCCTAAGCCGTGCCAGAACACCATTATTGGGACGTCAACTGTAAGGGTTCGTCTTGCAAACTTTTAAACCAATGGGCGCGGCGCTAGGGCGAGAGCCACCTTCAGAAGCCGAGCCGTCATCAATCCGTGAAGTGAGTGCGCACTTTTAAGACGAATGGGCGCGGCGCTCAAATCGAGAGCCACATTTTGAAAACCACCCAGCTTCCATCCATAAATCTCCTGCACGCTTGAAAGGCGAATGCGCGCGGCGCTGAGGCAAAAACACACTTTTGAAAGGAGCCTTTCCATCCGTGCAACGCTTGCGAATCTTTAAGACGAGTGTGCGCGTCACTACCGCGAGAACCACATTTTGTAGACCACCCGCCATCCATCCGTGAAACCCATGCGCAGTTTTAAGACGAATGGGCCGGCGCTAAGAGCGAGAGCCACAGTCTGAAGTCGGCCCGCGTTCCACCCGTGGAAGTCTTGCAAGCTTTCTTCATGATGATATGTCATCCAGCGTGGGCCCCAACACGCATGCTTTGAGCACTTCACAATGTGCAACATATGTGGTGCAATATATATATACATATATATATATATATATGTACATATATATACATATATGCTGTGCACTCTACGTGGTGCAGTACGCGTTGCGCACTCCGTGTGGTGCAATCTGCACGTTCAGTCTATGCCGTGCGAACTATGTGGCGAAGCCTAGGTGGTGCAACCCGTGTGGTGCAGGTTATGTGGTGCAACCTGTGGTGCAATCTAAATGATGCAGTCCACTTGTACTTGCCGAACTTGAAGTGGTCAACTCCACTGATCGCGCAATCATCCCACCAACCCACCCGCAACCTTGTTTGCAAAACCCATGCGCAAGCGATTGCGATGAGTGCTTGGTGTTGGCTGGTGCATCTCTGCGGCCGCGCTGGTCCGCTCATGCTCGCGCGCGCAGCGGGCAGCTAGTTCGGCGCGACCGACGCGAACGCCGTGGCGCTGACCGCTGGGCACATCCCAGCGCACCTTCAGTGCGAGTCGGCGACTTGGGCGGGCGCGGTATCATGGCAACGCCGACAACGGTACACACAGTGATGATAGTAGCGATGCTCGGCGACGATGCTGACAGCGACGACGGGGCAGCCAGTGACGGCGCGGATGTTGATCACGCTGACGACGATGACGGCGCCCTCGCTTCGGCGATGAAGGTTTCGGCAAAAGTTCGCAACGCGCGCGCGGCAGACGCGCGAGAGTGGCCCGCATTGCATTCTTGGACACGGATCGTGCCAACCCAGCACGCGCGCAAGGGCGTTCGAACGATTTCGACATGCGCCCGCGAAGCCCGTTTGGTAGCATTCTATGAAATTGTTGAGAAACCTATGGTTTTTGAAGACTTCGGAAGGGCACGCGCGCAAGTTTTTTGGGAAATCCGTGTTGCGAAACCATGTGTTTTATTCCCAACCCTCCTTGGTTGGGTATTCGTTTTGAATAGAGCAGTGTGGTCGCGTCCCTTCTCCCGCCTCCCGCCTCTTCCTGTCTTGCCCGCGGGGGGCTGCGATCTGTGAAACTGTCGCCACTTTCGAGGCCTGCTGGGGGGCCCAGCGCAGTGAGGGCCACGGGCGGACCCAAATTAGACCTCGCCATCCCTGGGGGGCTGCGATCTGCGAAACTGTCGCCATTTTCGAGGCCTGCTGGGGGGCCCAGCACAGTGAGGGCCACGGGCGGACCCAAATTAGACCTCGCCATCCCTGGGGGGCTGCGATCTGGGAAACTGTCGCCACTTTCGAGGCCTGCTGGGGGGCCCAGCACAGTGAGGGCCACGGGCGGATTCAAATTAGACCTCGCCATCCCTGGGGGGCTGCGATCTGCGAAACTGTCGCCATTTTCGAGGCCTGCTGGGGGGCCCAGCACAGTGAGGGCCACGGGCGGACCCAAATTAGACCTCGCCATCCCTGGGGGGCTGCGATCTGCGAAACTGTCGCCATTTTCGAGGCCTGCTGGGGGGCCCAGCACAGTGAGGGCCACGGGCGGACCCAAATTAGACCTCGCCATCCCTGGGGGGCTGCGATCTGTGAAACTGTCGCCACTTTCGAGGCCTGCTGGGGGGGCCAGCACAGTGAGGGCCACGCGCGATTCAAATTAGACCTCGCCATCCCTGGGGGGCTGCGATCTGTGAAACTGTCGCCACTTTCGAGGCCTGCTGGGGGGCCCAGCACAGTGGGTACCCACGCGCGGACTCAAATTAGACCTCGCCATCCCTGGGGGGCTGCGATCTGTGAAACTGTCGCCACTTTCGAGGCCTGCTGGGGGGCCCAGCACAGTGAGGGCCACGGGCGGACTCAAATTAGACCTCGCCATCCCTGGGGGGCTGCGATCTGTGAAACTGTCGCCATTTTCGAGGCCTGCTGGGGGGCCCAGCACAGTGAGGGCCACGCGCAGATTCAAATTAGACCTCGCCATCCCTGGGGGGCTGCGATCTGGAAACTGTCGCCACTTTCGAGGCCTGCTGGGGGGCCCAGCAAATCCCTGGGGGGCTGCGATCTGCGAAACTGTCGCCATTTTCGAGGCCTGCTGGGGGGCCCAGCACAGTGAAGGCCACGCGCGGATTCAAATTAGACCTCGCCATCCCTGGGGGGCTGCGATCTGCGAAACTGTCGCCAGTTTCGAGGCCTGCTGGGGGGCCCAGCACAGTGAAGGGCCCACGGGCAGATTCAAATGAGACCATCGCCATCCCTGCGGGGCTGCATTCTTGGTTGAACCTGTCGCCGATTTAGAGGCCGGCTTGTGATCCCCTTTTCGAAGAGGCTATGGAGTCTCAGGAAATTGTAAAATCATCAGCTTTATCAAGCCCTTTTCCTGTAGCCAGTGTCCTGCGAGTCTCCCGAATTCCGTCTGCAGACATATGTAACCCTCGCTCCGTCATCGCCCCCTTATAAAGTATCCTGAACTATTTGCGCCCCGCTTTTGCGCAGGGGTTGGGTACGTCGCCAGGGTATTTTTTTTTGGACATTCGATTTTAAAATCCCTACGACAC